TATTACAAACAGGGTTGTCACTAACTCGGATACAACAGAAACACATTATAAAGGAGTTTATTTGGGGAAATGATGATCATACCTGCAAGAGACAGTAGGCGAAGACTTCTCATGCCAAATAAATGCTGCAGTCCAAAATCTTGCACCTGCAACAACGACAAGAACTGCTTAGTCTGGATATAATATGTTAGAAGTAAGATGCTATTACTGTTAAAGCAGCTGCAAGATTTACATTAAAAATCAGACGAGCCGTACGGTGTCAGCTACGATCTGTTCTTATAGCTGCACTGCAGCACATACAGATGCTGTTTAATGCTAAATGTCATGTTGTTACCTGACAGCACCAGCGCAGATAGAGACTTCTTAATGATGACATGGTAGACAGGTATCCCAGGCCTGTGTCTGTGATCCGTACACACCTAAAATCACACAATCAGCAACATTACACCTTCATCTAATGACGCACGTTTGAGTGGAGGGCTGTGTGTGGACGTGGTCACACAGGACTTATTATTAGAGCATGCTCTCAGAGAGCAGATCATGACATTTATTTTTGATGTTGACGAGGTTGTAAAAGAGGTCAGAAAGGCCACAGAAGTGTTTGTGTTCATGCTGTTTGCCAAACAAAGGAAACCTGGAATGTAAAGAAGCCAAACTCTATCTGTCAAATCCATCAAATTTAGAAACAAAACACTGAATTCTGTGATTCTATTGAAACTCTGAACTGGAAACAGTGTGTTTGAGTGATAGTCAAACTTCATAAATAGTTTAGAATAATATTGGAAAAGCACACAGTTCAACATTCAGTCCTCGCAACCAAACAGCAGCCAACGGCTATGGGCAACAACGTCAGGTGTGTGTGTGTGCAAACACAGATGTTCCAGCAGCAGGGAGGATATCAGCGCATAGTTACTCCTTCACTTACATTTAAATTACATTTAAAACAGGTCAAAAGTTATTTAAGTTTTTAACTTTGAAAACTACTGAGGTGTCAAACATCAGTGCCATGACTCTACTGTCCTCTCATGGTGAGGAGGGCCTCAAAACGTTAGAGTCAAATTCACATTGTCACTGTAAAATTATACCTGAATGTAGGTTTTAAACTGATTACTATGAGGGGCCGTACAAGCCAAAATTCATTCTTCTTTCACACACATATGCATTCTCTTCTTACATACATATATTATTTGTGAGTTAAATGCATATTGAATGCATGTAAATGAGAGCAAAATGTAGGAATGCATAAATGAAAATGCATGTATGTTAGAGTGCAAATTTGTAAATATGTACATTAAAATACATGTATAAGAGAGCACAATATTGCAATGTGTGTGTTAAATATGTGTAAACATGAGAATAAAAATATCTAAATATAAAAATTAAAATAAAACTATGTGAGAGTGAAAATATATGTGTGTGAAAGAAGAATGTATGTGTATGAGAGTGAAAGAATGAATTTTGGCTTGTACGGCCCCTCATAGATTACATCTGCAGATATATGACTTTGTACTTTAGTGGAAATCCACCAAGTGTGTTGGGATCTGGAATCAAAGTATTTTCATTGTAATTACTTTGCTGACAAGGATTTGAGGTATTTTATTTACTGTGAGGATCCTTTTTTAAACCAGCGCCACGTCTCTCAGACTGGCTACAATATTTAATGGCTCTTGTATGACAGGAAACTTAAAGAAAATAAAGATTTTGGGAAGAGGATTTAAGCACATTATCATCAGACAGTGGTGAGGGACGGCAGGCAGTGACAGCTGATGCTTGACTGTATGTTTGCTTGTCTTTGAGCCCCTGCCAGTCTCAGAGGTCAGAGGTGAGACTGAAGTCAGAAAACTGACGTCATGGTTTTCAAAAATCTAGTCAGCTAGGGATCGGGATGGAGATCCATCTGCTTTCTCACAACAGCAGTAAACACACTTGCTAACCCTGGCTGACTGTTTCACTGACGCGATGTAAACAGAAGCACTTATCATTCGTCGCTGAGATGTGAAATAATTTTCCAGTTTGAGATGATGTGTCTCAGTAATTCACTATGAGAACTGGGAAAGTCACTGGGGATGGATTTACATCCTTTTTGTTGTCATGCTGTTTCGAGGAAGTTGGAGGTGCAACAGGATGTTATGGAAGAGATGCAATTGTAGGACATCAAACTGAAAATCAATATCTGCACAAGTCTGCAAAGTATTTTATCTTTGGTACGGTATCCGGTATACACGGATATTGTAAGTTAGAAAACACAGCCAATGATGGACCAGCTGGAGAACACACAGGACAGCCTGAGACTGTGACGAAGAGCTGAGTGTGTGGTCCAGAATGGTTACATTTAAATAAATAAAATACATTTTATTATTAGATTAGAGCATGCTGTATTAAAAGTACTTGTGGCAGGGCGCGGTCTGCACGGCATCTGCAATCATGACCCCGCCCGCTTCAAAATGGGAACTAGGGTCTATGTTTGTTGTTGTCAGTGTGTGTGGCTAGTGGCGGGAAAGCTGCAGCCAACTGTGTGTAAACAGCAACCGAAGTAAAAGGAGAATGTTAACGAATGCTGAACCATGGTTGTGCTGCAGTGGTTTGTATCATATCTATCTAATAGACTCCAGTTTGTGCATGTAAATGGAGAGTCCTCTTCACACACTGAGGTTAATTATGGAGCTCCACAGGGTTCAGTGCTAGGACCAATTCTGTTTACATCATACATGCTTCCCCTAGGCAGCATCATTAGAAGACATAGCATACATTTTCACTGCTATGCATGAAGCCAGATAACACACACCAATTAGTTAAACTGCAGGAATGTCTTAAAGACATAAAGACTTGGATGGCCGCTAACTTTCTGCTTCTTAATTCAGATCAAACTGAGGTCATTGTACTCGGCCCTGAAAAGCTTAGAAACATGGTCTCTAAGCAGCTTTCATTCTGGAAACAGACACCGTGTCTTCTTGACAGAGCATATAGTTAGAGCCTGAATCTTCCCTTAGATTGGCTTCCTGTGATTCACTCAGCATACACCTCTCTGCATTTAATTATACAAAATAATTCATCTCTGGCTCTCTTCCACAGTGTGTTATTTATCCCATCTTCCTCCAGTCACACCCAACTGGCCCCGCCCCTCCCTGAGCCAGGTTCTGCTGGAGGTTTCTTCCTGTTAAAAGGGAGTTTTTTCTTCCCACTGTCGCCAAAGTGCTACTCATAGAGGGTTGTCTGACTGTTGGTGTCATTTGTATTATTGTAGGGTCTTACCTAACAATAGTGAGGAGAACGTTGGTGTGATTTGACTTTATACAAATAAGATTGAATTGAATTTAAATTAGAAAATAACAAGTGAGCTTACATGAAGTGTCAAGCCCCACAGCACAAACACATCAGTGCCCCAATGACATAATCAAGCTCACACTAAACAGCTGGGATAGGCTCTGGCCCCCTGCCATCCTGAGTCAGAACATTGATGGAATCCAAATGTACTTCCTGTGTTACTGAAGTTTAGTTTTTCACTGAAATTGTGTTATATTTAATATTATTGTCGTATCACAGCAAGCTATGATACGACAGCAACAACATGTTGTCATTGTTACATGAATAATGAACGAGTAAAGGTGTTTACACACTGAGCATGTTGGGGAAAGTGAGAAGAAGCAGTGCATTGTGTACACACACACACTGAAAGCCTTGTGTTCTTGCAAATCGTCATCCTCAAAAACACACTGTGAAAAAAACAGAGTTGACATTAGGCGATGACGAGCTGTGTTTCTGAATAAGAAAAGGAAGAAAGCGAGATTCTCGGTTCATCCGTTTCCCAGGAAAGGCGGCAGCAGGGAGGATTTCACGGTTTGATCCAGGAGTGGAAGTTGCTTCACGAGTGCATTTGTACATATTTCAGGATGTGAGTGGGGCAGTTTGAGCTCTTGTTGGGAGAGTTGGGACCACATCTGAGGAGGCAGAGAAATCATTTCAGAGAGCCGACTGACCCGGAGCATCTACCTGCGTGTCTGAGGTAAAACAGGATTACTGCTTCCATAAAATGTGTGTTTTAAATCACAAGTGCACTTGTTGCCCAATCAGAGGTCTGATTGTTCAGATGTGCTTATAGTTCTAAGAAATGAAAGCTGCAGATTCAGTGTGAGTGGCTTTATTACAGATAGATGAGTCTGGAAATATTTTTAAAAGATTTTATGTGTGTAAAGGCCTTAAATGAAATGTTTCTTCCTGTCCCAGAACATCACTGCACTCGACAAATGCTCCTCACACTGACAGCAGAGGAGCTCAGTGCCACATGGACACTAACATGTGGCACACAAGTGCTGCCTTCAAATGTGAGGACTGAAATAGACACTTAAATATTAGAAAATTACTTGATGCATACTAAATCATCACTGTGTTAAAGATAAATCGGCCAAGTCTACAAGTTCTTGCACCAATAAAACACCAGCTGCAACTCAGGCTGTAGAGCAGGTTGTCCACTATTCAGCTCTCACAGACAGCAGCCCTCCGTGTATTAAAGTGACCAAAATAAGTTCATTCTGGCTGCAGCACTGCTAGATGGATGAGAAACACAGCACACACCTTCACATCTGTAACCTTTGCCCAGTAAACATTTTATCCCTAACCGTAATACCTGCATGAGCATGGGTTGTATCTTTATTGCCACTGAAGCAGATTAATTATCGTAACTTCCTTTTGTATAAATATGACCTGATTACAGACTCTACGTGCGCACTCACCTGTCCAGCACCAGTTCTTCCAGCTTGTGCAGGTCGCAGGCGATGTACTCCAGAGCCATGTCCGTGATCCGAGGGCACCAAGACAAGTCCAGGCTGCGGAGCTTGCGCAGGTTCTCAGCGACCAGCTCAACACCATCATCGGTGATCTTGGAGCAGCCAGAGAGACTGAGAGAAGTCAGGTTTGGCAGGCTATGGACCATGTTTACCACGCCATGGTTGGTGATCTCCCAGCACGAGTGAAGCCGCAGAGTGTGGGTGGTGTAGCCCTGTGGAGGAATTTTACTTTTTTAATTATGTCAGTAAGTAGTAAGGAATTACTGCCATTAAGAAAGATGAAGCCAAAAAAGTTGCTTGGATTCTAAGAAGTCCAATATAGAAAAAAGTTTGAGGACAGCTAAAGTAGGCAGCACTTTATGTCATTATTATTTTAACTTCCTACCTGCTTGGCTGTAAAGTAGGCCATGGCTGTGTCAGTGACGTGGTAAGCCTGCAGGGTCAACTCTGACAAGTTGGGCAGGAGCTGTGAGATAGCAGCAATGGCATCATCCGCCACATTGATGCAGTCGCTGACGCTGAGGGACGTGAGGCGAGCGTTGAGGCTCGACCAGAGGCCAGCCTCTGTGAAATCGTTGCAGCCTGACAGTTCGAGATGCATCAGGCCCTGCATTTGCTCCAACATGACCTGAAACACAAGAAATAACACGTGAAATGTAATTATACCCACAGACACTGTAAAGTCACATTGGACAACATATTATCTAAAAAATGAATGAATGAAATCATTGTATGAGGCTACAGAGCGAGGAGAGAAAGTCCTGAGGTCACACAGGTTTTATGGTGAGCTCACTGACACCAGCAGTCATGCAAATCTTTCAGTTCAGTTAATTTCAATTTTATATATTTATACAGCGCCAAATGGCAACAACAGATGCCTCAAGGCTCTTATTATTATAAGGTAAAGACCCTGCAATAATACAATCTACATCTGTGCTCAGATTAATGAGCCCACAATCTTTCATTCTCAATATACCATGTGTTAGAAAGCTGTGATTGCTATTACTGGCACACTGCCACTATGGGGACTAGCTAATCAATAAGAGTGATCAGGAGAACCATAAATTCTGATCTAAAAACCAGTTTTAAAATATCTAGTAATCATCCAATCACTGTGGGGTGTGAATGTGAGTGTGTATGGTTGTGCCAAAATCTGATTTCCAATGTTTCTGTGTATTTTTTATGTGTAATATCTTTACGTATGTTCGTAAATA